TGCAGGTGGTACTCGGGCAGGATTTCCCGGCAGCTGGCAGAAGAGATTCTGATGAAGCGGAACTACCTAGGAGCCTTCCTGATCCGGGAGAGCGAGAGCTCCCCAGGGGAGTTCTCCATCTCTGTGAAGTGAGTCGTGACCTGCAAGGGGGCAGGGCAGGTGGGCAGGGAGGCAGCACCTGAGCTGTGTCCAAGCACCGACCAGGCTCACAGACGGAGGTGGCAGAAATGTCGTCCCTGAAGCGGAGCAGCCCCAGCAAATGCCTGCAAGCAGTGACCAGCTGGGGTTAGGGGAGGACACCCCCTCCAGGGCATGGCGAGGGCAGTAAGGATGTGCTTGAAGAGCAGGCTCAGGCCTCCAGTGTCAGCCTGGGGGTCTGGACATTATTCTACGACTAGTAAGGGCCAAAGATTCGTCACCAGGGAGGAAGAAGGTGCCGGTGGCTTGTGTGGTGGGAGCGACTAGGGACAGGAGACACCCAGGCACCGGGGCAGGTCTTCAGGATGTACTGTGACAGGTCCTGCTGCTCCTGGGGGGACCTGACCCGGAGCAGATCCACCTAGGGCCGGCCGGAGTGTGTGGTTCTTGACTTGGTGCAGGGAAGATGTCACACCATGAGTCCAGGTGACTTTGAGAGGATGTTTATTAAAGCTGGGGCAGTGCAACAAGGAGGGGGCTGGGGTAGAAGCAGCAGGAGAGCTTGGGTGGGGTGCCCTGGTTCACTAAGAAGTCAGAGAAAGGGGGCCCTGGAGACAGGATCAGATCGGAGGGTGAGCCCGGCACGAGCTGCGGCTGCCCATTGCTCCCCTGGTGGGGACCCCGTGGAGTGTAGGAGGTGCCCGCCTGCGGGGGGGTAGAGGGGAAGGGAAAGGCATGGGCGCGCTCCTGGGAGGGAGAGTGCAGGCTGGGTCCCTCCTGGAGGGTTTAAAGGCTGGGCATTTAGGGGAGGTCCCAGGGGAAGTCTCAATAGAATACTCATCAGCTTTCCAGGGGTGTCCCTTCAGGGTCGGGGGCTCCACTGATTGGTGGGCGCCAGGGCAGGGGGGCGCTGGTCATTGCAGCTGGTCCTGGTGCCGCCCACCTGGATTCGCTGCTTTTCTGGGCCTGGAGCTGAAATACACGGAGGCCTCGCTGTGATCTCTAGGGAGGAGACCTCTGCGTCTGCTGTAAATTGCTGGGCCCGTTTGCTCAGCTCTCGGTCTCATTTTCCTCAATTCGCTCGCCAAGGGATTTTTCTAGCGTCTTACTATCCTGCCTCTTAACTATATGGGGACATAGTTGAGCGGACGGACTCTGGAGCCAGGCTGCTGGGGTTCAGATTCTGGCTCTGCCACTTCCTGGCTGTGTAACCTTGGACAAGTCACTCACCCTCTCTGTGCTTGGTTCCTCGCACGTACAGTGAGTTGTTGCAAGGATGAACTCAGTCAGTATAGTGAGAGCAGTTAGAACAGTGCCTGGCATGGAGGCACGATGGCTGCAGGGGAGCGTCTGGCTTTGCACCAAGCAGCTCCTCAGGCAGGGGTGGCAGCCAGTCCCAAGGCCACATGGGGAGACGGGGGTCCAGGCTGGAAGTTGGGAGCAGGCGCAGGAGCGGGGTGGCGGGGTCAGGCCCTGGTGGGTCTCTGTCCTTCCTATTTCCAGTGTCTGTGTGAGAAGGGGAGTCCCCCCCTTTCCCCCTTTAGTCCTCCCGGCTGGTCAAACAATTAAAATGGCACGAGACAGACTAACTGGAGAAAATAATCAAATTTAGCCACATGTGTACAGACGGGGGCTCGGTGAGAAGATGGCACCTGGAGTCAGACGGCTTGCTGCCATCTTGGGCTAAAGAGAAAGGAAGGCTGAGGGTGGGGCTTCATAGGGAGGGAGGCAGTTCACGGGGAGATGGAAACCCAAACGCTGGGGAGGAGATGTCCGCTGGGCCGTGGCTGCCAATGGCCCGGGAGGCGCTGTCACAGGCCTCGCTGAGTCCCTCCGTCCCACAGCTCCCTCACGTGACACCAGTTCCCTAGCGATCCCGCTGCCTGGAGCGGCCTCTCTCTCAGCTCTTTTCGGCAAAGGGAACGTCAGAGGTCCCGAGTCTTCTGTTTCTTAAAAATAACACTCGACATCCCAAAGGGGCACATGTGAGGTGGCAGCCTCGGCTCCCTCCCCCTGGGCCCGGAGGTCTCGATGCAGAGGCTCGGGGGCTAGTGGCTGAGCCACAGGCAGAGCCACTGCCCTGGGCCTGGGGCTGCCGTCTCAGTGGGGGAGACAGAACAGAAGCAGGTGGACACGGGCAGCCTCTCTGAGAGGCGGCATCTGAGCAAAAATCTGAACTGGGAGTGGAGGCTGCGCAGGCCCCAGGCAGGACGACCTGGGAGGAGGCTGTGGGACGAGGGAGCAGCCGCGCAGGGGCCCTGGGGTGCAAAAGGGCTTGGACGCGGGGAGCCCCCAGGAGGTGGCGTGACGAGAGAGGGAGCCAGGGGGCAGGGGCAGCCAGAGAGATGGCCCGCGGAGCCCGCCTAGGAGGCCGGGTTGGTCCCCCGATAGGGAGCCTAGGGAGGTGTGGGCAGGAGGAGATACTAGCTCCTCGGCTGCTGTGAGAAAAGCGGAGAACAGGGGCGAGTGAGGAGCGGGAGCTGTGCCCCGGGCTGAGGGGGGCTGAGGGGGGCTGAGGGAG